GGATTGTTCTTCCTTCTTTAAGTAGGCCTGGATTGCTATATACTTTCCCCTTAGAACTGCCTTCGCTGTGTCCCACAGAAGTTGGGGCATTGTGGTGTTGTTTTGTTTGTCTCCATATATTGCTTTATCTCTGTTTTAATTTGGTCATTGATCCATTGATTATTTAGGAGCATGTTGTTAAGCTTCCATGTGTTTGTGACACCAGTGGGCCAAACACATAGGTGTGAGCCTTTTTGTTTTCTTTGTACAATTTTTTTCTAGTTTTATACCCTTGTGATCTGAGAAGTTGGTTGGTACAGTTACAATCTTTTTGAATTTACTGAGGCTCTTTTTGTGGCCTAGTATGTGGTCTATTCTGGAAAAATGTTCTGTGTGCACTTGAAAACAATGTATATCCTGCTGCTTTTGGGTGTAGAGTTCTATAGATGTCTGTTAGGTCCATCTGTTCTAATGTGTTGTCCTAATGCCTCTGTCTCCTTACTTATTTTCTGTCTTATTGATCTGTCCTTTGGAGTGAGGAAAGTGTTGAAGTCTCCTAGAATGAATGTATTACATTCTATTTCCCCTTTTGATTCTGTTAGTATTTGTTTCACATATGTAGGTGCTCTTATGTTGGGTGTACAGATATTTATAATGGTTATATCCTCTTGTTGAATTGACCCCTTTATCATTATGTAATGTCCTTCTTTGTCTCTTGTGACTTTCTTTGTTTTGAAGACTATTTTGTTGGATACAAGTACTGCAACACCTGCTTTTTTCTCCCTATTAGTTGCATGAAATATCTTTTTCCATTCCTTCACTTTTAGTCTGTGTATATGTCTTTGTGTTTGAAGTGAGCCTCTTGTAAGCAGCATATAGTTGGGACTTGTTTTTTATCTATTCAGTGACTCTATGTCATTTGATTGGTGCATTCAGACCATTTACATTTAGGTGATTATTGATAGGTATGTACTTATTGCAATTGCAGGCTTTGGATTCGTGGTTACCGAAGGTTCAAGGGTAACTTCGTTACTATCTAAGAGTCTAACTTAACTCATTTAGTATGCTATTATAAACACAATCTAAAGGCTCTTTTTTTCCTCCTCATTTTTCTTCCTCCTCCATTCTTTATATATTAAGTATCATATTCTGTACTCTTTGTCTATCCCTTTTTATTACCTCTGATGACAGCTATTTAACCTTAGGAACACTTCCATCTATAGCAGTCCCTCCAAAATACACTGTAGAGAAGGTTTGTGGGAGGTAAATTCTCTCTACATTTGCTTATCTGGAAATTGTTTAATCCCTCCTTCAAATTTAAATGATAATCTTGCCGGATAAAGTATTCATGGTTTGAGGCCCTTCTGCTGCACTGCATTAAATATATCACGCCATTCCCTTTTGGCCTGTAAGGTTTCTGCTGAGAAGTCTAATCATAGCCTGATGGGTTTTCCTTTGTATGTGATCTTATTTCTCTCTCTGGCTGCTTTTAATAGTCTGTCCTTATCCTTGATCTTTGCCATTTTAACTATTGTATGTCTTGGTGTTGTCCTCCTTGGGTCCTTTGTGTTGGGACATCTGTGCACCTCCATGGTCTGAGAGACTATTTCCTTCCCCAGATTGGGGAATTTTTCAGCAATTACTTCCTCAAAGACAGTTTCTATCTCTTTTTCTCTGTATTCTTGTTCTGGTACCACTAGAATATGAATATTGTTCTGTTTGGATCGGTCACACAGTTCTCTCAGTATTCTTTCATTCTTAGAGATCCTTTTTTCTCTCTGTGCCTCAGATTCTTTGTATTCCTCTTCCCTAATTTCTATTCATTTATCATCTCCTCCACCGTATTTAATCTGCTTTTAATACCCTCCATTGTGTTCTTCAATGATTGGATCTCCATCCTAGAATTCGTTCCTGAGTTCTTGAATATTTTTCTGTACTTCCATGAGCATGTTAATGATTTTTATTTTGAACTCCCTTTCAGGAAGATTCATGAGGTCAGTTTCATTTGAATCTTTCTCAGGTGTATTCATAATTTTGCTTTGAACCAGGTTCCTTTCACATTTCATAATTTGTCTGTTGTGCCCTCTAGTGCCCATAAGCTCTACTCTCTGGAGCTGCCCAGCCCCTGGAGCAATGTCAGGGGTCACGGGGGAGTAGTGTTGGTATCTGGGGGGATGATAGAGCTGTTTCGTGCTTCCTGGCTACTTTGCCTGTCTCCACTGCCAGAACCAGTGGGCCAAACACACAGGTGTAAGCCTCTGTTTTGTGTTTGTAGCTGCCATACGTGGAGCTTCCCTCTGGCTGGCCTGACACCAAAGCAGGGGCTGCCGGTTTGTGAGCCTGAGACAGGTGCAGGCTAGCCTGGAGGAAGACACAGCAGGCTGAGTGGTGGGGGGCCTTGTATCTGCATAGCCAGCCAGGGGGATGAAACACCTGAAGACCATTTAAGCTCCCAACCTGCTGGTCAGAGTGCACCTGGACAATTTTGTCCACCTGTCCTTTCTCCTGAGCAGTAAGCTCTGTTCAATCCTTGCCCCTTTAGCAGCCCTTTCACTTTTAGGAAGTCTCTCAGACTGCCCACTCAGATCAGCCGGATATGAATCCCTGTTTTCCACAAGCAACTGGAATCTCTGTCTCTCCAGGTATTCCGCCTGTCTCAGCTTTCCAATACCACTAAACCACCAGAGCACCATGCAATGTAGGTTCATGCTCCCAGATCAGATCTCCAAGGCTAGGTTTTCAGCATTCCCAGGCCTCAACTCCCTCCTTGCCTGTTTCTCTTCCTCCTGCCAGTGAGCTGGGGTGGGGGAAGGGCTTGGGACCCACCAGGTCATAGCTTTGGTACATTACCCTGTTCCGTGAGGTCTGCTCTTTTCTCCAGGTGTGTGCAGTCTGGTGTAGCCTTCTTTCCTGTTGCTCTTCCAGGATTAGTTGTATTAAATTATATTTTCCTATTATATATGGTTTTAGGAGGAGATCTCTGTCTCACCTCTCACACCGCCATCTTTAATCCAATCCTCAAATTATCTTCGCCTTACTGGGTCTTAGTTCTTCATTTATGAAAGGAAGGAGATTGGAAAGATCCTGATCTCCAGGATTTCTTTAAAGCTGTAATATTCTAAGACTCTATAATGAAAATAATAACACCACACAGCAAATGAAGAGTTAAAACCTGGGTGGAGGCTTGAAATCCACATATTTTCCTTTTTTGGTTGAAATCAGACTTGGAGAGAAATTTTCATTGTGGTCTCTGAAAGAATTCAACACCCACCTTCCATTGTGGAGCCTGGGCAGTCAATTGACTGTACTGGCTCAGGGACACATAGCTTAGTGTTATTTCAGTATGGTTTTTTGATATTTAATGTTTTTTAGTATGAATCACAGGTGAAATTTCTATGCCATGTGTAAACAATTTTACTTTTTTATGAAACAATGAATTCAGGAATGTCATATTGGGATATCAACCATTTTGTTTTTATCAATATATGGAAAAAATGCTTTTATATTAATAAAAGAAATGATGTCATTTAATATGAAGTAGATCTTATAATTCAAGGTCAGCAAATCTCAGGAGGTGATTTAGGTCACCAAGTTAGCTTTGGAAAAGGAAAAGAATATTTTCCCTTTGTCCTCTCAAGTATTTTTACCAATTTTCCTCTCAGACTTTGAGGTAGATGGTGCAATAGTCTGGTTATGAAAAGGAGGCTCTGACTAATAATATCTTTGTCACTGAAGTATGTGGCGCTGGAGAATTTATTTCCCCTTTCTGGGCTTCAGTTTCCCCATCTGCAAAAGAAACGGATCAGCCTAAATAATTTTCAAGATACCTTTTAGCTTTGACACCCTGTGTTTCTACCTCCTTACTTTTATTTGTGTGTACAAACCATTCAAGAGACCCAATTAGGCTTTGGGGTTCTCCTTTAATAGCTCAGCGTAGTAAGACTGACCTCAGTTTTGGTTAGTGTCACTCACACTTAATTGAAAAATCAATTGAGTACTAGATACAAACAAGAAAACCTTTTTTTGTTGTTGTTAGTAGTAGTTTTATTTTTAAGACAGGAAAATGTTTAAAAGTTTGACTTAGCCACTTTAAACTTAAGTGCTGGAAAAGTACAATTTCTAGACTGATGACCCTTCAAATTTGTACACCAGTATACAAACTGCTTTCTTCGTGTGTATGATGTTGTTTGAAAAATGCATTTCTACAGGGCTGTGTTGTACACTTCCTATGTATTTGATATTGTATGTGTGAGCATGTGTATGAATTTGCACATATATTTACCTCAGATCTCTGTTATGGTCAGTTAAGGAAGCAAATGGCATTCAGAGACAGTGAGAGAGGAGGCAAGGAACAGACAGATGAAACCCATTTAGCAAGTTACCCAACGTACCCAGAAGTACACTTCATTTTAGAAAATCAGCCTCTAGCAAACATAAGTAAAGCTAAGAGCAGATCTAGCCCATAGGCCATGGTTTCCTCATACTAACTTTATAGCACTGTGCTCTGGTTCTAGACAAAGAGGAAAGAGATACAAGAGAAATACAAAGCACAACCTCCATCAGAAGTGGCTTGTTATTTCTTTGTTTCATAAGCACTGATGGAGCACCAGCACTGTCGGGCCCTGTTGGGAATCAGAGATGAGTACAGCACAGCTCCTACCCTTGATACAAAGGGGAAAAAGGGCCAGATGTGCTCAGAGTATATAATACCAGCCTTTTGTGTTGCCAGTGAAATAACTGATTTTATGGTGTGTGTCCTGGGGGCTGATATTAGCAAACCATATGGGGGTTCTTTGAAATATCCTGATTCCACATTTGATCATCCTTAGTATTCTCTAACTGTAAGGGGCAAGGGAACAGGAAATGAAGAGGCCACCTTTAAATACCATCCCAAAAGTGTGGTTGATATTGGGATCGTACATTTATATTTCCTCTCTTAGAGTTAAAAAACCTTAGTGTTATGGAAGCATTGCCAAGTATCTGCCAGAATTTCTTTTAATTCTATTTTTCTATCTTTGCAGCTAAGATACCAACATGGACTAGGGACTCCAGACTTGAGGCAAACCCTTCCTAACCTGAAAAACTTCATGGAGCATGGACTGATGGTCAGATGGTGAGTTCCTTAATCTCTGCCCCCAGAAACTGCAATGTGTATAATACTCCTGAGAAGCTTTCTCGACTTCCACATCGCTGCACACCTGCCTTCTGGGTTTTCTTGCATAGGATGATAACTGAAGAAAAGGAAAGTCATCTGTAAGACTTATGTAGGTCTAAGCTCCAGGCTGGCCAAAGAGGGTGACTGACCCTTGGGAAGAGGGCATATTGGTGGGGTTATTGTTTGAGCACTGGCAGACTAGCTGGGCAAGGAATCCTTGAGTGCATTGCTGAGGCTGAAGTTGGCAAACAACAACATGATTCATGAGCATCAGATCAGTGGTATGAGAATTAAGAGAAGAAAGTGGACAGAAATAGGTCAGGCCGTCAGGACCTAGTCTGAGACCAGGAGGCACATGCTAGAATGTGTCTTATATTTGATTTCCATGCCTGTTTGTACCATGAGAACAAGCTGCAGCGTAAAGTGCTTATCCTGGTAGACATGGGAGGGCAAGTCTGCTGCAAAGAAGGCATCACGTTGATTCAGTTGACTTAAATGAATGGAAAGATGTTGGCTCCAGCCATTTAGTAATTCTTGACATTTGAACCCTTGAATGATGGACAATAACTTAACACAATCATGTGAATGGAATTCAGGCCTTTAGAGTAGACAACTGGGAGCAGCCTAGTTTCTTCTGAAGAGCACTGGCTTCTTATCCCTTATCTTTTTCTAATCTGCTGTGTGAACTTAAAAGTCCTACCTCTCTTAATTTCCTTATCTGTAATCCCTGCCTTGCTCATCTCGCCAGTTTGTGATGAGGATAAGCTGAGATGTTGGGGAGAAGAGTACAAGATTGGTTTCGTTCCTTCTGTGTCACAAGGAGAGCCCTCGGGAATAATAAGGAGGTGACATCTGTGACTGACGTTTACTTGGAGGTTTTTGTTTTTTGTCTCCTGTGATCTTCAAAGGGCAAGTTTCAGATGTCTGATTTTAAAAAAGATTCCTGAAGAAATACCCAAGTGTTTAAAGAATACTACTCACAATATCAAGATAATTATAAAAGCTGAGTGTTGATTTGGATCTGTATACCCTGAAAAATAAAAGATGGGATTTGTGATTTAATGGAAAATAATAGTAATAGCAATAGTGACCAAAGCGAGGTAGCTGCCATTTATTTAGCATCGTCTTTGTGTGAAGTTCTGAGATGGGCCTTCTGGAGGGTAGCAAGAAGTATAAGGCTTGTGCTCTGGCTGGAACAAGGTGTGTAATTCATGAGAGGTTTTATAAAAGAAATGGTAAGTGACCTAAAATAATCAAAAAAAGAGGCAACCCACAACACTACCTGATTAATCACTAAATGAATCCTGATCAATACAGACAGCAAGGTGTCCCAGTGTCACTTATGGAAGAGTCTGTCTTTTGTCCACTGTTTGATAATGCCTCTTTCATATACCAAATTCACTTACATACATGGACTGTTTCCAGGCCCCCTATTCTGCTCTGCTTTATTTGTCTATCCATGGGCTAGTACCACATTTTTAATTATTGTGAGATATAATTTCTGTAAGTCTCGTTGAGGTTTGAGGATGCCCAATAAATAGCATCCCTCCTGATACTTGGAAACATTTGAGAGAAGAGATACAAGAGACAGAGTAATAGAAATCAAAATGTCAATTTTCTTACTGATAAAGCTGCATGGAAAATGTGACTTTAGATCTGTAATAAAAAGGGCTTGCAAAGATGTCACTCAAAATAAAATTTAACCCTCACAGTCACAATGAACTGGAAAACCCCAGGCTTTCCCCACAGAGGCAGGCCCTTAACTACACTGCAGAGAGCAGGCAGATGACTCCTGCAGGAACCCAGATGGGGCTGGCCAAGAATACGCAGGTTTTATGTTTCCCTCTAAAGTTACCTGTCAGAAAAGGCCCCCCTCTAAGAGTGAGAGAGTGGAAGGAGGGAGAGAGGCCAGGAGTGTCGCCTCTAAGTCCTTCAGAGCAAGGGAAAAGGAGGATACTCCCAGCTTCCTGGTCCCCGGCAGGGTGAGGCTCCCCTCACCATTCTTCAGAGCACTTCTGGCTTTTCTTGGCTTGTGAATTGTATTTGAATGATGTCACAACTTTGGGATATTGGGTCTTCCTAACTATGAACATGGTATCTTTTTGTTTTCTTTTTGTCTTTAAAACATACCTTGGTGAAGTTCTAAAATTTTCTTCATAAAAATCTTACACATCTTTTTTTATTAGCTACTTAGTCCTAGATATCTTACTATTTTGGTTGCTTAAAAAAATTTTTTTTATAACATATTCAACTTCTTTGTAGCTAGTATACTGGAATACCACTGATTTATGTATTTTGAGAGTATATCTAGCAACATTGCCAACATCAGTTACAATAGTTTGTCTCATATTCTCTTGGATTTTCTGTATATACAGTCTTTTTTTTTTTTAAGTGAATGATGGCATTGTTTCTTCCCTCCTGGTTTTACAACTTCTGTTACTTTTCTTGTCTTATGTTTTATTATGGAAGAGAAGCAGTGATAGTAGATATCCTTCTGTTATTCCTGACTTTAAGGAGATTGCTTCTAACTTTTCACTCTTAAGCATTTATTTATTGCAGTTTGGGGTAGATGTCTTTTTTTATTAGCAGAAGGAAGTTTCTTTCTGTTCCCACCTCACAAGGTTGTTTTCAAACCATGAATGTGTGTATTTTGAATGTTTTCAAATGCTTATTCTGAATCTATTGAGATAATACTGTTTGTTCTCCTTTACTGTGTTAATATGTTAATAAATATTAAGTACATTTTCTAATGTTAAACCATCTTCACCTTTTGGGGTACACTCTACTTGGTCACGACTTAGTATTTTTTTTCTATATTACTGAATGTGATTTGCCAATATCTTAGAATATCTGCGTCTGTGGACTAAGATGAGACTACTAGCCTATAATTTTTCTTTCCCATATAATAATCCTTGCCTGATTTTGGTAACAAGGTTTCAACAGCTTTATTAAATAAAGTAAGGATCTTTCCCTTCTCTCTAGTCTCTGGAACAATTTATATAAGATAAGAATTATTTGTATCTTGAAGATCTGATAGAATTTAGCAAAAGTCTAGTGTTTTTTTTCTTTGTTGAGGGGGAAAGTGTAGTTTTTAAGAATTATTTGTATCTTGAAGATCTGATAGAATTTAGCAAAAGTCTAGTGTTTTTTTCTTTGTTGAGGGGGAAAGTATAGTTTTTTTAACCTACTGGTTTAATATTTGTAATGATTAATAGGTCTGTTTATTTTCTATTTTTTCAATTCCTCATTAACTCAGTCTAGTCTGATTTCTAGTTCTATCAGTATACTTAAATTCCTTTTTTTCTTGGTAGGTGCCTACTGAACTCTATGTTGCCAGACTCAGAGGTCACTTATCTATGCTTATCCTGTTCCACATCTGGTGGCATTGGCCCTGCTGGACATGCCTGCCTTCTTGGAACACTCTCCTTGCTGGGCTTGCCATACTACTGCCCTCCCCTGGTTCTCTTCTTTCAGGTGCTCTTTGTCTGTTTTTCATATTCCTCCCCCCTTACCTGATGGTTTAATCTGGAGTTTTGATCTTCATGGTCCCATCTGAGCTCCTCCTCCTCTTTTCTCTCCACTCTCTTCTAATGTGACCTCATCCATTCCCTCAGTTTTGAAAACCATCTATATGTTAACAATTCCCAAAGTTACATTTTCAGCATAAACCTCTCCTGCAAACTCTGAATAGTCAAAGACCTACTTGACATCGCCCCCGGGAGCACCCCAGGCACCTCAGCCTCAACATACCTAAACTGCCCTTCATCAGTCTTCTTCCTCTTGGTGCCCTGTCTACCCCGTTGCTCACACCGCGGGATCACCCTTGATTCCCTTCTTTTCTTCACTCCTACCATGTCTAATCAGATTCATCAGCACGCACTGTCATCTCTACCTGCAGAACATGTATCAAATCCAACCATTTCCCACCATCTCTACCACCATGGCCGCAGTGTGAGCCACTGCCCTCTCTTACCTAGACGCTGCACTAACACAGTCTTCTCCCCAATTCACTCTTGTCCCACCTCTGTTTATTCTCTGCAGTAGCCAGAATAATCGTTTTAAATTGTAGCTATATCCTAGTTACCTCCTAGCTCCAGCAACTAGAGCAAAATCCAAGCTCTCCTTCATGGTCTGTCGGGCCCCTGCCTCTCCCCACTTCCTCAGCTGACACCACTCTCCCCCTGTTCGCACGTACGGTCACTGTACTGACCACCTCTGTCGCATGATCAAGTTCTTTTCTGACTCAGTCATCACACTCCCTGTCCCTCTCTGGACAATGTGCTGTCCTCCCTTCTCTCCTACCACCATCCTCTCAAAGAAAACAGTTGTAGAAAAGATACAATAGCTTGATTAGCGAAGAACAGACTACCTTGGCTAGAGGGCAAATTCATTTAGCAGAAAACAGTGAGCTTACACAATTTGGAACCCTTTTCAAGAGAAAGAATACAAAACTGCAAAAACAAAATTACAGGGAAAAATAAGTATTTAAAATGAGAAACAAAATCACAACAAATTACAGGAATTTTAGAGATTAGATCTCTTTCTTTTGAGATCTGTTGAGACAGTTCACCCAAAATGCTTACATAGAACTGCTTGCTCATTGCAAGCTGACTGCCCTTCCCTCCTAAAACACTACAATTTGCAGCAACTCTTAATTTCTAAGACACACAGAAATTAAATGACTTTCCACGCATGGTTGACCCATGAACCTGTAGCAATAAACCTAGAGTTTAGGTCTCCTGGCACTGACATAGTAAACCCACTTAGCTCCACACACACACATTTATGTAGCAGCGCCCCCCTGGGCCACCTGGGCCAAGGACATAAACATGGAACAAATGGTAGGTGTACTTTATGGTGCTCTGATGAAAAATGGGCTACAGAGGTAGATGCAAAATACCACAAACTGCATGCTACCTAGTGATTCCAAGTCAAGACCACTGTAGAAAATCAGGCTG